ATTTAGCAGCGGCGCCCGGGGCCACCTCATAAAATGGCTAGCTCGTAACAGGGCCTGACCGATTCCCTAACTAATGATTCTCGAAAGTACTTATTTATTGACCTGATTTCGATGTGATTGTAAGATTAAAATTACAAACGAAATCATAACCGAATTACGTTTAACATTTTGTAACGAATATTTTTAAATTGGGTTTTAATAGCAACACAATACGTGATTGTTTTAGTAGTAGCAGATGTAGCTTCTTCCGAAGCAGACACAGTAATGTGACCATAGCATGAAGTGCACAGCGGGTGTAAGTGTCATTCAGTTGCATTTTATTTCCTAATAAAGGCGGAGAGGCTAGGCGAAAGGCGATGACTAAATAATGACCGGGATAACGCAGTTTTATTGCCGCCTCCGTGTTGCGAATATATAAATGAACCCTCCAGGGAGTGTTAAAGACGCCGCCAAAGAACTCCTGTCGAAACAAGTCGGGCTCAGAGAAATGGCGCAGTAAACCTCCCTATCCACCGAGACGTCATTTTGTATTTTGTATAACACTGCTGTCGTGTACACAAAAATATTACGAACAGAATATTTGAAACTGCCTCAGAGGTTTAATTTGTAGGACATAAAGTGTCCAACCACGACTGATAAGAACAAAATATACCTACCTAATTATAAATTTTACATTTATTAAACCTTCTTACTAAAATTGCACACCAATTGAATTCGCCGATTAAATTTCAATCTTTTCTTAAAACATTACATAAAATTACATCCTTTCTATAAAAGATGAAAACTCTCTTATTTATTTACTAGCTATTCCCCGCAACTTCGCCCGCGTGGATTTTTTTTTTGCGCGGTACCCTAAAATAGTAGTAGCCTAAGTTACTCCTTATAACATCAGCTATCTGCCAGTGAAAGTCTCATACAAATAGGCTCACAGGTTTTTACGTGATGTGTGTTCAGACAGACGTCGTGTTAGAGTTTTATTATAGTATAGAATATAGATATAACATTCGAAGTCTGATTCTTAATTAAAAATGATAAAAGGAAGTCTGAGTGGTATGCACACTTCACGCGCTTAATTAAGCAATTTCACGGCTACATTTCAAATGTGTTTTGGTGTTAAATTATTAAAACTTTAATTGTATTCCGGCGCCCGACTCCATAGTCGTAAAGAAGCCAACGAGGCGCTCCTTTGATACACTATTAATGCAATTGTTCGAAAACAGTGCGAGGCAATAAAATTTAACCTTCAGGTAGAATATTCTGCCCTACTTCACCCCTCAGCTATAATTTTTCGCATTGCGGATTTTGAGCAAACGCGTTCCGTACTCGGCTTACATTCGTAATACACGAATACCTTCAAAATGGGTATTTGGTTTTAGTAACTCCTCAAGAGTATAAATCTATGTATACATATTTGAAATAGAAAATAATAGAATTATTTTACAGTTTTCCAACTCGCACAACTTCGTTGTGGTGATTGACCAGTGATTTTGCCGGACCTATATAACTTATATAACTTAACTCAAGAAAGAGTCTACTCCTTATTAAAAAGCCGGCAAGCCGTAATTTTTCTGTTGTTGCAGATATTCATGGGCGGCGGTAGTCACTAATTATTACATGAGCCGCATGCCTCATATGCGGAGCCGCATGTTTTCATAATAATTGATGTGTACCTATACGATACAAATATGAAGTATTAATGGACTATGCCGTGCTAATGTAAAAGATGACTTTTTGACATTTTGGCAAAACTTGTCTTTGATATAATACTACAATGTTGAAGAAAAGCTCTGTTTAATGATATTGTCGGTAATTTTCTCACTGTTTTCGGTTTCGAGATATTGAGCTTATAAAATTACATAAAAACCATAAGGTCTTTATGTAATTTATTTGAATACTAATTTTGAATAACGTATTAGTCTTAAACACCTATTTTTTTATTTTTTATAAACGTATAATATTATTGCATTTTAATATTTTATGTTTTAGGTATACAGCAGTAAACTAATAAGATTGAGCTAAATTACCCTATGTTAAAATTTGCCGCATTTTAATCAACTACATTGATGAATAAAACCTGAGTTATTAGACTCTAAAAGGGACTATATCGAAACATATACGTTATTTAAATTAAGAATATTAATATAAATATTATTTAAATGCCATCAACATTGCCACCAAATGTTAACGGCGAAGGTATATTTTTATTATATATACGACCACCAAAAAAAAATTAATTTAATATATTAAAAAAACTAAGATATGTGAAGTTGGGCAACACGCGTTGGGGCATCGCGTCGGACATTTCCGTGCCTTAAAACCCTCTCAGAATTGAGAGGCCTGTGTTTAGCAGTATATAGACTGAAACTTTAAAAAGTAAAGGACTTGACCATGTCTATTACTAACTGGATATTACTAGTTTTCTGTTTAACTGTTATTGTAATCACTATCAATATCACTACAGCCGACCACAAGCCCATTGCTGAAATAACCCACCCTCATGGTTTGCTACAAATAATGGTCCTGAGCCTCCTACATCCATCGACTGCCTGCGTATTTAATCAGGTCGTCATACCATCTAGTTGGGATCGCCCAACACTGCGCTTGTCAGTACAAATGTCAACACGAGGCTTCCATTCGAGAACTTTTCCCTACCGGTTGTCGGTTCTATGCTATATGACCGGCACATTGCCACTTCAGCTAAATGATCCTCTGGACTACGTCAGCTACTCTTGTTCTTCTGCGGATTTACCAGTGCGAATATCCGATTAGGTAAGTCCTAATTCGACCGGGAGATCAATCGATGAATCCAACTTGGAAGAGCTGCGCTCAAATGTGATAATATATTACAAAATATATCATTACTATTGATTTTAAAGTATCCTTCTTAGGAGTGTTATAATGTGGAAATATTCATCTGGAAAAGACAGGTTAAACGGCAGTCGAATACAAAATGTCTATACTACAAATGGCAAATGCACTTGAGATGTCACCGTCCTCTCCCCGAGCAACCGTCTTAAATTTTGCCATTTATTTTTTAAAAGATATATATTTCTTTATAATACATTTATATTTTCGTTTCCTAACCGTTTCCGATATGTTTATTATATATTATAGTGTAGCTTTAGTTGGTTTTATAATAAAGGTAATAGTCTAGATCTCTTAATCACATTGATGTTAAACAATTCTAGTACTGCGTGTAAGTCACATGCCAAAGACGTACCTCTCCCGTTAGAGAGGAAGGGGAAGAGTGAGCAGCCTCATAAGGAGACAGCTAACCTAGTTTTTAACAAAAGACTAACTAACCAGCTAACCTAGCCTTTTAGTAAATATTACGATTCTATGATAGATACCGATTTTGAAATTAAAGATGGCAAAATAGTTTCATTGCTAGGCACAGTCCTCCACTTGTTGACAACGAGGAGAGGGAGTTGAAAATGTCTTTTACACTATTCCCTTACGAGATGGTCACTTCAATTGAAACCTTCAAGATATTTTTATACGTGGTAGAGCCATGCTGCAGCTATATAATTAGTATAGTTGAAGCACGAATGGGTCGGCTCGACCAGGGAAGGACCACGCTCTCACAGAATACCAGCGTAAAATAGCAGCTTAACACTGCTGTGTTTCGTATGGTGAGTGTAGAGAACCGGGGATCATTTTTACTGGAAAAGAGGCATTCCATCTTAGTCCTCACGGGTAACAACGCATCTACATTTTGATTCACAAACAAGGATAGATGTAAATGTCTATGGGTCCACAGAAGCACAACGACTTACCATCAGGTGGACTGTGTGCTCGTTTGACACCCTATCCTATAAAAAAATATATTCGCGCAGTATAGATAAGTGCGTGAATTAACAATTAACAAACTTTGGTTACTTGCTTTCTATAATATTTAAGAGGAGCACCCTACCCTTAGGCTACTAGCACATATCATCTTCATCATCATTATTTCAGCTCTTTACGGATTCACAGCAGAACATGGGCCTCTTCCATGATTGCCACAAAATACGATTAACCACCCTGTAACCCAAAAACTTTCCTACATGTCTAATCTAGTTCTATTGAAGATATGCGCAGTAGAACTAGACTTTTCTTTTTTTTTCCTTTCCCTGTAAAGACGCTTACTTATTGATAACAAATATTAAACATCTATATCACTGTGTCTGATAACTTATCGCAGTCTTATCAACGATTATTTGGACTTGACTTAAATTATTCCTCGTTAAACTTAGATAATGAACAAATAAACAAAAATAAATCGTAAGTTTTATTTTCCCTAAAGATGATATTTTAAATTTATTGCCTTAAAAATCTCTTTGCTGACTGATTACTGCATATATTTATATAGCTTGAATCTAATCTGTAACCATATATTTATACAAACAAATAATAATCTTAAGATCGCGAATACAACGTGATTATTGTGATAGATAATTAAAAATCGTATTTGTTTGAATAAAACTCTAAAAAATTAAATAAATATTAAAAATACCTAAAGTTTATTTTCGTTACAGTTGATTGCGTTATGAGCTTATGAGCTTACTTCCTTTAACATATTAAAGGTTAAACTATTTACAAATCTCAAATAATTACGATACATAAAATAATGACTGTATTTTATTAACGATATAATGTAATACCTAATTAACTTTATCACATTTCATTAACTTAATTTAGCATAAATATTATAAAAAAAATTATTACAACAAGGTCAACTTCTAGTTTATCATAAAAGCAGCAAACTAAGTCGTGACATTAAAATCGTAAATATTCTATGTCTTAAACTTTTTAAGTTTTCATTAAATCTTTGGAAATACTCGTACGTAGCATATTACTTTCGTGTCATAACTCGAAATCCCTGTATCACACACAATATCGCATTATTGAAAATGCAACTTTCGAGTTGAAAATTTTCGATTTGATCCGATGTATATCGTACGAAAATTGTGACAATAAGATTGCGAATGTGTTTGAACGAGTTCAGTGCTCGGCCTAGTTCATTCGCAGTACCAAGTCGTTCTTCTTACTTTCTTCTCGCTACATCGTCGAACTTCTCCCGGCACCCCACGAAGGGAATTATCTAGAAACAAAATGGAACATAAACTTTAATATTGCAAGTTTGAAAGCACGCTGTAAAAACAAATTAGGTCAAATTTAAGAGTTGCTATCTTTTTAATTAATTACTATCTTTAATTTTGTAAAGTAACTTTGAATCCACTCAGGGCGCCTTTAAGAAACGTTAATTTCATTATCTATTAATCGGCGACATCTTAGTTATTTTTTTAAATTATATTACTTATATAATTTTCACCTCAGTCTCTTAAATTGGAATAGTATAGCCCAATTAACACCTACAACCAACTTAAGACAAAGAAAACAGATGCGCTGTCTAAGGACTAATATGGAATGTCTTACAATCTTAATTCAGCAAATTTCGTATCCTAGACAAAATAGTATCTATTGCCTTAATAAACTAAAAAATATATTTATTTTAGTGTTTATATTGCTTGTAGTCGACTCGGTAACATATTTTCTTAGTATATATTGGTATAGTATTATCATCATCATTACAGCCGTTCACAAGCCCACTGCCGAACATAGGCATTCCCCAAGGAATGCCACAAAGCACAGTCCTGAGCCACCTGCATCCATCGACTGTTCCTGCGTGTCTTACCAGGTCGTCACTCCATCTAGTGGGGGGGGGGGGGGCGCCCTACACTTCGTCCGCCGGTACGAGGCCGCCACTTAAGAACCTTTTTTTCCCCCACCGGTTGTCTGTTCTTCGAGCTATATGGCCGGCCCATTGCCACTTCAGCTTACTAATCCGTTGGGCTATGTCGGTCACTCTGGTTCTACTGCGGAAATCCTCATTTCTAAGTTTATCAGACAGAGAAACTCCGAGCATAGCCCTCTCCATAGCTCGCTGGGCGACCTTGAACTTCCTCATCCAGCCAATAGTGAAAGACCACGTCTCAGATCCATAAGTCATCACTGGCAACACGCACTGGTTGTACAATCTCAACTAAACATACTCGTCAACAACTTCGAGCTTAGTGCACCCTACAACTACCTGCATAGGTGTGACATGGGCGTTATACATGATCTTTGTTTTGTCCATGTTCATCTTAAGACCTATCCGTTGGGAGGTACTATTGAGATCATTGAGCATAGTGCTTAGGTCCTCTAGCGATTCTGCCATAAGGACTATATCGTCGGCAAATCAAAGGTGAGTGATGTACTCGCCGTTGATGTTAATACCGTATCCTAGCCAGTTTTGAAAACATCTTCCAATGCAATGGTGAAGAGTTTCGGGGATATAACGTCACCCTGTCTTACACCTCTCTGCAGTTGGATAAGTTACGTACTCTGGTTCTGTACTCGGATAGCCATCGTAGCCCTACAGTACAAACACTTCAGCACTTGGATATACCAACAGTCCACTTGGCACTGCTGAAGGGACTACAGCACTGCTCAAATTTCGACGGAATCGAAGGCTTTCTCATAGTCCACATACGCCAGACATAGTGGCAAATTGTACTCCTCGGACTTCTGTACAGTTTGCCGAAGGGTATGTATGTAGTCTATGGTGCTATAGCCTTTTCGGAAACCGGCTTGTTCGGGAGGCTGGAAGTCCCTCGAAAACAGCACGTAGACGCAGCTCAGAAGGGAAATCGGTCTGTAGTTCTTCAAGAGAGCGTTGTCGCCTTTCTTGAAGAACAAGATCACCGCAAGTCTGCTCCAAGCCTCCGGTGTAGTGCCACCATGGAGGACGGAATTTCAGACCGAACGCTGAACCCGCTTTCAGAAGCTCCGCTGTAATTCCATCTTCACCTGGGGCCTTGCCGTTTTTAAGGTGCTGGAGGGCCATTCTAATCTTGCCCAAACTGACGTCCGGAATATCATCGGATATATCTTAGTATATTACGTTAGCAGTAGGTACCTATTCATTAAGGATTTTTTATTACACTATACAAATATCATCATCAAGTACAAAAGGGCGTGTATAATTGTAGTTATGATGGTGGGGCACCAGGAAGTATATTTTTCTATCTATGGATCAATATACTAAAAAAATATTTATTATAGTCTTTACACTGCATTTAATCGACACGGTAACATCATTTGCATAATCTTAGTTAATAACCTAAACAGTATTCATTAAGGATTTTTTATTACACCATACAAATATCATCGTCAAGTACAGAAGGGTCCGTATTATTGTAGTTGTGACATCCATCATAACCTTAATAAATATTATAAAATCGGCTTGATCAAATAATAATATTACATAGAATGGTGTTATTTAGTAATGACCGAAAAGCATTAGCCCATTACCGTTATTTACTGTTCCGGTACTCTATTATTTACTTATAGGATACTTTTATTACTTTAAATAACTTGAAGTTAGTAGTTTACTTTTAAAATGTATTGCTACATAAGACACACCGCGCTCAATTTACACATCAGGTAAGTAATCGATGTCATTTTAGTATTTTTGGCTACGGGCTCCCATTTAACTACTAATATATCTATGTAAACAACTTTTATCGAAGCACAATGATTTAAAAAAAATTACACGGTAATTTAAAATTGTAATTAAAGATGGCAACTCTTAAAAAAGTTATTTTAAATTTTTCGTAATTTGAGTTAAACCAAACCAAACGATTGATACGTAAAAAATAAGTTATTATCCCAAAGACAATCACAGGATGCAGGAAAAAGCCAGCCTAAAGAAAGTTAAAAAGAAATTATATACAAGCTCGGAACTAACTTCCTGTACTGACCTAACAATTCAATGCTGAGTCAGGAATACGAAACCTTCTAAAAGACCTGGAGAAAGATGTTGTTATATTATATTTATATCATTGTGCAAATTAAAAGACGGCAAATAAAAATAGTGCAGAGTATTGATTGTTTTACATTTATTTAGAGATTCAAATAATACGAACTGGATAAATATATTATTTAATGGATACCACGTCTTTTTACATCAATTTTTGTACTTACATGTAAAAGTACGCTATCCATTAAATAATATAATAATCCAATTCGTATTATTTGAATCTCTAAATAAATGTAAAACAAACAGTATAGTTAAAAAGAATAACATACTATAGACAATTCGTATTAGTGCTGAATTAAAAAAAAAACGTATAAAAATGTAAGACTTGAGCTTACATTTGTCATCATTGTTTTCAGTCCCTGACGACTCTTGACTGTTCATTGAAACCACCGACATCCTCTTGTTTCGCTGTTGTAGTAAAAGCTCTGTAAGGGAAAAATATAACGTAATCACTTATATTATTAGTTCATCATCTCCATCATCATCGTCATAAACGCAGACCATCACAGGGCCACTGATAAACATATACCTAACCCAAAACCTCCCACAAAGCCTTTGCACGGAAGAGTTACGCCACAGCTATATTATGATCTGCTCGACCGGGGAGGGACTACGCTCTCGCACACCCAGAATGAAATAACAACTTAATGCTGCTATTTTTAGAATGGTGAGTGTAGAGACCGGATACGCTTTTACTGGAAACAAGGCATTTCATCTTCGCACTCAATGGCAGCAACACATCTTTATTTGGATTTTTAATCGAAGATAGATGTAGATGTCTATAGGCCACTGCATCCACTTACCACCGGTTGGACTGCACGCTCATTTGTAACCATTATTGTACAAAAAAAAGGTCATCTGATCATGTTACGTCAGGCTTGGCAGTATGAGGCAAATTTCTTCCCCACTCAGGCTGGAAACTTTAGTTCTACTGTAGATACGATTATATCACACACAAGAAAACCGAGCCCTATTTATAGCTCGTGAAAGACCACGTCTTTGTTCCTTAATATAAGAAATCATGCAGTAAGTGTTCACTTTATATAAAAACTGGTTGAGAAGATATCGTAAAATCCCGAGCGCTGTCCTGCGACCGAATTACCGCGGTCGATTGACTGAACAACATACTCTTCAATAAATTCGAGCGTAGCGCTCCTAACAACTGTCGGTGTAGGTGTGACATGGATGTTATACACGACCAGCGATTCTGTTATAAGTACTATGTCGCCGGAAAATCGAAAGGCGATTTATTCGACATTGATGTTTATACAGTATTATTTCCAGTCAAGTAGCTTGAAAACATCTCGAGTATATAACGTCACCTTGTATTACACCTTTCTTTTTTCGTTCTGTACTCTGCACCCTCATTCGCTTCTCTTTCATCATAATAATTTACTCCTACTTATGTAAATTAAAAAAGTCTTTCTAAACCGAATATAATTGGGTTTTTCTTTCATTTAAATAATCTAAGTTCTTTTTATGTGTAAAAAGTAGCGTAACATGGAGTAAAATTAAAATTTAGGTACAACCGACTTGAATATAAATAAAATGAGAACATCATCAATGTAGTCGAAGTCAATTGAATACGCATTATTAAGGATAACTCAAAAACTACTGGTCAGATCTTGATCAAATTTATATGGGACCACGTGAGAAGCACCAACTTTCAAATAAAAAAGAATCATCAAAATCGGTGTACCTATAAAAAAGTTCAAAGGTAACGCACATAAAAAATGCAGTCGATTGAGTACCTCCTCCTTTTTTGAAGTTGGTTAAAAAACAGAGAAATTAAGTAGGTTTTATTAATAAATTATATGCTTCTATATTTCGTTGTTAAGAAAATGGTTATAAAGGGGAATAATTATGCTGGTAATAACCCACAAGATTGTCGACTGCGGTGTCAACGAATTTGAAGCTATGTGTAGAAAACATGAATTAGGAAAAGTCACCGATCTTAAAACAGCTAAACTTTAAAACCAACAATTGGTGCTTTTGCACACATATTGTTTACGGCTGGTATTGGAACCCAGGCAGGCTGGTACTCTGACAGTTGGCGACGCGTTCATCCTAATTAAATACTCGTATATTGAATTAGTATATTTATGTCATTACAAAATAAATTTAGATTAATGATATTTATGGCACTGTGTATTCTATCTATAGGTTAAAGTATTAAGCCCGGTGTTATTTATAAATTAGGATGCGAAAATACAATATACCTATCAAAGGATGTACGTTACTTCGGATTTATACGAGTATATCACGATATATTTCAAGTAATATAATATCGGAAAAAATGCTGATCCATCAATAACGTAATCACTTGCTGACAAATGACTGCAGTATTTTTATATTTTATGTTTAATTATTTATAACTAAAAGATTTAAAAAGAAACAGAATGACCAATTAGTTACACTATTATCATTTTTATTTCTTGAGTTTGATTCTAATGGGTGGTGCAGAATCTTCACCGGACTTGAATTGAAATCGGGTAATGATATAGGACATTTTTGAACAGCACACTACTGTATATTGGCTACCTGCCAAATATAATAATTTGCGTCACAGAACTTATTTCTTTTTATTTAAAGTAACACACGTGTACTTGAAATATGAAATATAAAATTTCGAAATTCCATACCTCTGGTATACATGTGTATTTACATATACCGCATAATATGTCATATATATTATCATATTTTGATATTTATGATAAATATAGAATATTTTCAAACTGTGTTATAAAACCATAGCGAGGACAAGCAATGTAACGAATTATAATACGTCGTAAATACATATCTTCGCGAGGCCACACCTGATGGATAAGTGCACAATGATAAGAAATAAACTGATAATGAATACATTATTTGAAACAAACTAAATAAATTGGCGCACATTTATGATTCGTTATACTGTTTGAACTTATGTGATTTATACTATAACCTCTCATGTGCCCGACCATTTTATGTTTATCTTTGAACAACATAGATTAAAGACAAGGCGTGTTTAATTGCCAAATGGGTACATGAGGTTGGCTGACACACGGGCATGCATAAGCTGTCAACCCCCTGCGGGCGTCATGACACATGAGGGAATAAAATTAATTGTAATTAATAGAATCAGGCGCACATCTTCAATAGTTTTTTTTTTGTCTAGGCTTAAATCTTATTGCGTTCTATTAATCTTTATATATAAAAATTACGTGTCACATTGTTTTTCCGCGATAAACTCCTAAACCACTGAAATGATTACAATGAAATTTTGCACACTGTGTGCAGTTTGGTCCAACTTGAGAGATAGGATAGTTTTTATCCCGATAAGTGAACGTCAATATTTTTTATTGCGAATTTAAGGATTTTTATAGTACAGAGGTTCGCCGAGGGCAGAACGACGTCTGCCTGGCCAGCTGTTACACTATAACATTAAATTTTAAATAAACTATTGATAGACCCCTGTTGGGCAGACCAAAACAAGATCAATTTACCTACATGTACCTACATGATGAACAACGTATGTGTCAATTTCACCACCAATGGAAAAATTCGTGATATTAATCGGGCAATTGTTGACAATTTAAAACATAATATTGATAGGAGTTGACGACCGGCAATACGTCTCAAGCTGCAGCTATTGTTAGAAAACTATCTTGTTACTACAACATTAAAACAATTTCAATGTACTTCGAATAAATTTCATTTATAACATGTTGATAGTGTCAAGTTATTATTGATAAGTTTAACGAGAAAGGCGCCAACGCCAGTCGGTTGCATGACATGGGATCATGTGAATGAGATCTAAATATCGCAATATCATATAACATGAAATGAATATGTGTGTATTGTTAAACAAAGCCCATTCTCCAACTTTAAGAAAAGGCAATTGTCGCTTAATAGGGCTGTTGTAACAAAGAAACGTCACTAGAAAGATTTATACACCAGTTTACGCTTATCGATTTGATCTTTGCGAGAATGTGGCATTGTTACACCGACTTCGAAACGATCGCACTTTCGTTCAACGCTTTTCCTATAAAATTTTCGTAGTTTTTTTTTTCACGTAATACCTTTATATCATTTAATACGATGTAAGAATTATCGAAATTGAAATAAGAAAAAAGTAAATTAGGTTTTACCTAATTTAATAGACCCAATATCATCATTTATTATCTGAGATCTTACAGACAAGGACTTTACAAGAATGTAGGTCACCTAAGTAAAAAAAGACCGAAAGAGCATTCAAAGATAAGATATAAAGTTTACCGTCATCGTGTCATTCATAGCGATTACATTAAAAAAGAATATAAATGATGACAGAAGTTAAGAAGGTCAAGTTGCTTGCGTTCCCACAGACAAGTACGCAGTACGCTGCACATGCAAGCCGAGCGTCCAATATGAAGCGCAGTCATCGACCCCGTATGCGTCAGCCGACGATATTCTTTATCGTATGCTCTTCCGTCACGTACCAAGACGGGGAGCAGATGACGGTCAATTAAAAAGTTTGTTCGTATTAACTATGCGGGAATTGTTGCCAGCCTTGCGCACCAGATGAACTAAATAGGGTTCTTTATGAGAAAACGTTTAACTCCTATCGAAGTTGTGTTCGTCAAGAAAAAAAACAATAAATTTATATTCATTACGAAGATTGTCAAATAAGTAACTCCCATAATAGATCGATTTGTTTTCCTCCAGCCGAAACAATGTTTTGAAAACAAACGTTCTTACAATATAATGATTACAAATGGCAGCGGCATTACCTAAGCTACTGAGTAATGAAGTCTAGAATACGTTATTAATTCCATTCATTTCCAATCTGCTTATATACGAGTGTGTAGGTTTGAGAGCAAATAATTTCAATACGCAGTTTCGTTGAAAATAATAATAGTGAAATTTACTTGTTTGAACAAGGATAATTTTCCCCTTAGTGCCTCGGAATGGATAAATCTCATCTACGGAATGGCAACATATCAAATGTCTGTGTGTCTTGCGAAACCATCAAGTCGCATTACGCTCCGAGTAAATAATTGAATACTTCCCGCGTACTTACTACTTCCTTTTACATTTGCTAAATTAATGGACATTTCGAGTGCTGTATGACATTCATACGTTTTGATTAATTATTGTATGCTTCAAATATTAGATCTTACTTATAAAATCACCATTTTTATACCGAAATTCATACACTATATTACAACAGTACACATTAATGAACGTTCCTCATGTATAAATTCGGAATTAAATATAAATCAACAGAAATGACGTCTGGTGAGTACAGTGGTTGGCGGAGTTTCCAGTCAAAGCCCCCAGTAATTTTAAAATAGTCCGTGTTGCAGTGGGTGGGCGAGCATTTCCCTGAAAAAGTAACGGTCTACAAAAATTCACTAGTCACGGTTGTCTGCCTCCCGTTGGTACAACTGTTTCATGACAAGTGACAATCCGATTCAGAACTTCTCATTGGTGTACCGATTTAACCAAAATTAGGCAAAATTCGACGCGAATTTGGCGTAATCCTACAGAAAAGTTATATATATATATATATATAACTAATCCTACAGAAAAGTTATATATATATATATATATATATATATATATATATATATATATATATATATAACTTTTCTGTAGGATTACGCCAAATCGGAAAGAGAGTAAGTACCGTATATATATATATATATATATATACGGTACTTACTCTCTTTCCGATTTTTTTAATGTTTTTTAATTCAGGACAATAAATAAAGGTCGTTATTTCACTCATGCAGAAACAGAAACAGAAACAGAAACTTTTTATTCAATATAGATTATAAATAATACTTATGGAAAGTCACTCTTTTGTATAATTACCACTGGTTCGAAAAAAAACCTCTGTCCTGGGAAGAACCAGCAAGAAACCCAGCGGGACTTTTTTTTTAAATAACAGCTTACAATCATGTATGTTACACAAATTAACAACACAACATGGTAGCGATCACCCCATTTCCAGGGGTTATTATCATCTATAAATTCTTTGATATTATAATAACCGTTTTTATACAAACTTAGTTTAATAAAGTTTTTGAACTTTGGGCAGGTCAAATTTTGTATATTTTCTGGAATTTTGTTGTAAAAGCGTATACATCGCCCCAAGAATGAATTACTGACTCGATGGAGTCGAGTAACTGGTACTACTAGCTTGTGTCTGTTCCTAGTATTTACAGAATGAATATCACTTATTTTTGTAAAACTATTTTTATTTTTGTGTACGTACATTACATTTTCATAAATGTATTGAGAGGCCAAAGTTAATATATTAATTTCCTTAAATTTTTGTCGCAGCGACTCTTTAGGCTTTAAATCATAAATTGCTCTTATGGCCCTCTTCTGTAAAACAAATATAATTTCAGTGTCAGCTGCGTGTCCCCATAGCAAAATACCATACGACATTATGCTATGGAAATAGCTAAAGTAAACTAGTCTAGCTGTTTCAACACTAGTTAGAATTCTAATCTTTTTTACGGCATATTTGTTTTTATAGGATAAGGGTGACAAACGAGCACACAGTCCACCTGATGGTAAGTGGTTGCTGCGGCCCATAGACATCTACATCTATCCTCGTTTGCGAATCAAAATGCAGATGCGTTGTCACCCGTGAGGACTAAGATGGAATGCCTCATTTCCAGTAAAAAGGGCCTCCGGTCACCTGCACTCACCAAGCGAAACGCAAAAGTTGCCGCGTGGCTCTACCACCGTTCAATATATATGCTGCAGAACTAAGTCTGCTTGCTAGTTTTGATATATGGGGGCTCCATTGAAGCTTCGCGTCTAGTGTGATTCCAAGAAAAATGGTGGTATCTACAAGACTTAGTTTCTCCCCATTTAAAATTACATTAGTATTTAATTGTTTGACATTTGGAGTCATGAATTTCATACATTTCGTTTTAGTGCCATTTAAATGCAAATTATTAACATCGAATGCGACATGCGACAAGTACCTATATGATTAATATGTATCCTTACGACATTAATACAACATACTAAGCCATTTAGATTATACTATCTGTTATTAGTTAGACGTGTACCGATAACGATTGGATAAAGCCCAGTTTTATATCTATTTAATAGCAGCATTGAATCAATTTTATTATTTTAATAGTGTAGGTAACTGTTTTCTATCAATAATATTTGTTATTAAATCACTTCCCTTTATTAAAAAAAAAACAATTAATTTATTATTCATTGACAAAAATCATATTCAAATGTAGCAAGCCCGAAATATTATTAAATTTTTTTAACATTTTATTAAACTAAAATGTGAAGCGAAATTAAAATAATTATTACAATGTGAAGTATTGAATATGAAAATGCAAAACAGATAAACAACAACAACAATAATAATAAGATCAGCACTTGATATTTCACTACCATTTTTTTCTTAATGAACATGAAAAATTCAAAGACCAAACTGCAGTATCTAGGTGTGTTAATTTTATATTATCAAATTTATTTTCTTTTAAAAATAATTACTATTAACGTGTAATTTCTCTCATATTAGCTATATTTTATTTTAAAAAAACTTATATCTTACTTAAATTAGTTACCCATGGACAACATCCAAACCCGTAGCAAAATTATTTGTAGGCCATACAAATACTTCTTGTTCCGTCCGAGATACCAGCACGCGGCCCGTAGCACCGCAGCCGAAAGCTTAGCCACTGCCCTACCGAGCTGTTTTAGCCGAATGCCATACGATGGAATGAGTAACAAGGCCTTGGGTTCTCATAACTGACTAAGCGAACACACAGACTACTTGTGCTATTTTACGCTGGTATTCTGTGAAATAACCTTATGAGGCAATCTATGGGAAGGCCTATGTTCAGCGGTGGCAGTTATAGGCTGTAATTAATGATTTTTTTTTATAGGAGAGGGGGTAAGCGAGCATGCGGCTCACCTGATGGTAAGTGACTACCGCCGCCCATGAACAACCGCAAAACCAGGGGAACCAGGGGAATTGCAGATGCGTTGCCGGCCTTTTAAAAAGGAGAGGCTCTTTTCTTGAAGGTCCCTAAGTCGTTTAAAAATATAAATGAATGAATTCTGTGAAAATGTGGTCCTGCCTCAGTTCCGCTGGCTTATTCTTGCTGGATAATATAGCGGCAGCGTGACGTTGCACTCGTTAAGTCTTAATATTTAGTAACAGATCATATTATATTATTATATATGATTTTCTTTTAAGTATGAACATAAAAATATTAAAAACACTTATTAAAACACCATTAACTTTTTTAGTTTTAAAGCATCGTCACGACACTACATTTTTGTAAACTTTTTACTTTCTTATCGAATGGGATCAATCCCAAGTTCAGGTACCAAGAGCAGATGGGCTCAAAATAATATACGTTTTTCTTCAGTTATATTAACGTTTATCAGTACAATAAAGTAAATTTCAAGACCGTAAAGGCTTCACAGACTTTTGTGCTTTCGTCTGTATTTTATGTGCACACTCTCTTTCTCTTTCTCTCTTAGTTTCGCACTAAGCCTTTACCGCAATTATCATAATAATTGCGGTGAAGCACAGTGCGAAACAACTGACGTGGTCCGACACGACTCAACGCCTCCGCATTCAAACATCAAGTTTCATAGTAGACAAGTCTTAAACCAGAACATCTTTGTGTTTGCAGCGAATCTATGAAGCCGTCCCCTACCATGGGTAATAATATAACAATAGTTATTTGATGTGTAGTGGTAGCGGTAGTAGAGTGGTCTGAGTAAGCGTAGTATGCATATGTGTATATATATATGTGTGTGTGTGTGTGTGTGTGTGTGTGTGTGTGTGTATGTATATCATACATTCCTTACAGCCTATAGTAGATGGATGGATGGATTGATAGGAGAAGTACATTTAATGTAAAGTCTCTTGCGCCACAGCAATTACCACTTGAACTTACTTCCTTCCTATCTTGCCAATACAACTTATTGATTCAAAGTACTAATAACGTCACCATAAAATAACATAAAAAGTATAAAATTTGTTTGTGAATTTAATATTTTTTTTTGTTATATAAAGCGTAATGACTTTCGTCGTGGTAACTGTGCATCGCAATAGTTGTTTTAATCCAGTTATAAGTATGATATAAATGGAAATTGGCTATATATAACACATATTTACTGTTTAAATCGACTTACCTTTCTTCTGCATTGCCTGTTCCCAAAGCAGAGACGTGATCTCTTCAACCCACGCGCTCCTGATTCCAGAGTCTCTAGTCTCCAATTTGTACGATTTTAGGTTTCGTTTCTTATACCAAATTGTGAACTTGTACAGGTCTTGCTCTTTCGCTGTTATGCCTAGATCATCGACTGGGATATGATCCTTGTATATGAAGAACTCCACAGTTGGTTGCTGGAAATTATACAAATAAAAATAAATATAACATGACTATTTTTTAATAAAACTTAATGATTTCAATACGTTTTCTAAATGCAATATATTTTAAATCTTACACGCAAATTTGAAAATAAATTTCAGACTTAATTAATTAATGTTCCATCTCTCTAGATTAAAACATCACCATCATCATCATTACAGCCCTTGACAAGACTACTGCTGAACATAGGCCTCCCCCAAGGAATGCTACAAAGCACGGTTCTGAGCCACCTGCCTCCATCGACTTCCTGCATGTCTTACCAGGTCGTCACTCCTGCCAGGCTGCCACTCAAGAACTTTTTTTCCCCATCGGTTGTCGGTTCTTCAAGCTATATGGTCGGCCCAGCTTCTAATTCTAACATCCTTCAGCTTACTATTTCGTTCTTCCTCATACGGCCAGCAGTGAAGGACCACGTCTTAAATCCATAAGTCATCACTGGCAACATGCACTGGTTGATTTGAGCCGTTGCTCATGGGGGGAATCAAAGCATCAATCAACATGAATTCGCTGTGTAAATGCTCATGCCGTGAAATATCTTTTCTGTCACGTCGTCTTCCATAAATTGGCACAAAGCATGACTTTGAAGTTCTTGCTACGACCAGTAGTAAAGGACCTGTGCTTTGGTTCCGTTGTATCACATATTACATATTCCAGACTCGAATAAATAAAATATTTTACGCCTACTATACACAATTTAATTATTCACAAAATACTGTAATGATCAATTATACAGTACATTTCGGACAATACAAATACAATGGAGAGAAGACGTTTAATTGTAGTGGCTTTACTATGTCACGGAAGAGCGACTTCACTAGTAGTTACACTCACGGAAATGCCATCTCAATAGTTATAATATTTCAGCAACGGACTGAAAGTATTTTTTTTTAATTGAACATCTTATATTATATTATAATAAAAGTAAAATGTGCATAACCATGACGGGAGAGTCTTAACTAAGAAAATTTTAATAAAGTCTGTAAAATGTGAAATAATTAAATAAATCGCATTATAGTGTAAGATTATAACTGATTTAACGAAATGGAAAATGCAGTAATGGGCGACCCCCCACTAGACGGAGTCACGACTTGAGTAAACACGTAAGTAGACGTTGGTTGTAGGTAGCTCAGGATCATTCGTTATGGTGAAAGCTTAGATAGTATTCCAAGACTAAAAAATGTCCATTCACTCTTGCCTCTAAAAGTCACAAATTGGTCAAGGAAAGCAAACTCAAGCAAAGAATTCTAATTTGTCGCTGTAAGCACCAAAAACGATGAACCAAAACGCTTTGTTAGGGATCAAAGACACGTCACGTCCTCGTCGTACGTTGTGTCTCGTGTCTTGCGATAACAACATAGGATTGTAGGGACTAAAGAGTTTCAGCCGCAAATATTTGAGACGTTTGGTACGACGATCGCCTATTTGTCTGTCCAAATATAGCCATAAAGACAAATTCATGGCATATGATTAGGTTATTCAGAAACTATCATCATCTTTAACTTTATATAGATCATCGTCCGTTGGTGATCGTGTTACTTCTAAACGACTTGACCGATTGAGATCAAATTCTAATAACATATTATTTGATTAAAGATGTTAAAAATTAATTAGTTAAAGTCCGCGTGATAAAATAATCGTTGATAATACGACACATGTTTCTCCTCTAAACGAATCATCATTAAGTTTCAGAAATTTTAGCTTCAGAGTGTATTTTACACTCTGAAGCTTAATTTTTAACGTCATGATGATAATGGATTTCCACAAGTTATCGTCTCATACTATTAATATTTGATTTGTTTGACGATGGATGAAAATTTCTAAATTCTGATTTAGTGCAAAGAAAGAAAATCACAAAAAATGTTGACCGCGCCGATATGTGGCGCAGTGGTCGAGTTATTAATACATTTTATATTTGTACTTTAAAAAGTCCGGAGTGAATTCGGAATGAAACTCATCGCACCACCTACCGGGAAGAACAGAACAACATCTGTAGAGCCAGCAAATATATAAATGAATACGACAGTTTACGAGGATATAACATGCGCTGGAGCAACACGTCACGACGAACTCCCCCGCTTAACCCGCTTTATTATTCTTTAACTAGCTGTTCCCCGCGACTTCGCCCGTGTGTAATTTAGGGTTTTATTTATTTTGTGCCGAACCCTAATTCTTTTTCTAAAAAAAGGTAGCCTAAATTACTGCTAATAATTTCAGTTATCTGCCAGTGAAAGTCCCGTCAAAATCGGTCCAGCCATTTCAGAGATCAGCCGAAACAAACAGACAGACAGACAGACAGACAGACAAAATTTTAAAAAATTGAGTTTTTGTTATAAGTAAAAGTAAAAAACTGTTATTTTGACATTACAAACAGACACTTCAATTTTATTTATTTGTATAGTTATCATCTACTATAAGTTTAAAAATTAATAAAGTAAACTATTCGTCACTCATCGTCAACTACCAATCTTCCAGTCATGTAACAATTAAATAAAAATCTCTAGCGGTGCAACAGTGCAGAAAAGAGTCGTCGAGCACTACTTGCTTCAAGAATTTTAGTTTCAATTAAAAATATTATAAACAGCAGCGATAGGAATCCGGATGTCAGATGGAATTCGAGGAGAAAACAGGCCGACTTACGTCAATAAATAAACTGATTATTAAATATTAAAACTGTGTAACGCAACACACTCCGAATAAGTCGTGTTGTTGAGCATTGTTTCGCTGTTAATGTATTTACAAACAATTGTGAATTTTTCCCGGATACCTATATTACGCGTTTCCCGTGTCATCAAACAGTAAAGCCGTCGGCGTGTAGTAATTAGTCGTTTAATCGCATTGACAAGGTCGTTACCTGCCAGTATACGAACTTACAACTGGAGCTATTTCAGTTTAACGCTTTTTTGCGTTAACTGTACCAATAAAAAGTTAAACGAACTTAACGACGGTTTAACAATAAAAAGTTAAACGAATTTAACGGCGTAAATGAATTGGCTACAACGCCATATAATCTTTCAGAAGCTATGACATCGTTCTGATATTTTCCAAAACCGTGTCTTAGGATCCAACGGGACGAAATTGGTTTATGCATTATCTTACGCTGCAGCTATCTTATTATACTCGTAGGTTCATCATACTTATAACTGAATTGCAAATGTATACCCCCGGGCCCTGAGCTGTTTTATCTAATTCCTATTTTTCTTAATATAACTTTCCTAAGTACTAAATATCAGTTCTAGTAACACATAAAATATACGTGTATAACAAACAATGAACATCCTTTGATAAAGAACAAATCTTAAACAGGGTTAAATAGTTCGCGTAGTAGATAAGTAGGGCGCTAGTCTACAATAATGCCGTCTAAGAAATCAGCTGGCGACGCCGGAGCGGCGCGTTCAAGTAATAAACTACGTACTATTGTAATATCCATTCAATATTTCACTGTGTTCCAAATTGCGATATGATAAAAATATAACAAGGTCACAATAAAATATTTTTTTACATAATAATTTTCGGCCAGCAATTTAATTAATTTTACAATATTATGTACTATCTTTTATCTTTATACACATGACGCTAATAGAAAAATGATCAATTGATTAACCGAAGCAATATGTTTGCCTACGACTGCATTAGGTTGGCTATGTTTTGTCATATATAAATGTAAGAGAATGCATTAAGACCGACAATTTGCCACTTACTCTTACTTCAAGGCTAATTAATGCAAGTGCCAAGTATATTTAATTGATATATTACCATTTACCCCGCAAGACCTTAATTAAAGTATCAAGTAGGACAGTTATATTCCACGACAAAATTAATAAAATTTTATCTTTGTAAGTAGTTCTTACAGTACCTTACATGGTATGCAGTACTAAAATATACTCTTGACCGACTTCAAAAGTGGTTAATTTGTCAATTTATAACACACCTAAGGTAAGTTACTAACCGGTTTTTCTTATCATCGAATCGATTCTCAGATGACGCTAGCAAATTTTTAAAATTCTTTGAACGCAGTACCTATTACTTTAAAAATAAAATAAAATGTTCTAGATGCAAAATTTGCTATCTACAATATTTAAAGATCATTCCTCCGTGTGACAGAGCTATGGGAAATGTTGTATGTCATGTGTTAATATAACTATAACTTAATTATCACAACAGTACCATATTACCACTAACTGACATCTATGTATCTTGGTTTATTTTTTCACTTTCATATAAGTCGTTTCTAGACGTTTTTGTGTATAGTTGACGTCAATACCATATAATTTATAATCGGTACATAACTATAGATTTAAAAATATCTTAAACTTTTGATATATTAAACTTAATATAGACAACAATATAAAACCTTTTTTTTTTGCTTAATGTAAAATAATAAAAATTGATACTATTAAACCTATTTATTGAAAGTTGTATTATATTCTTTTTATTTTAATGTTCCTTACAGTGTGATATTCAATCGAAATTAAAATTATTGTATTAAACATGTTCATTTACGCTGAACAGTATCGGGGAAGTAAACCTGGATGGATAACTAAATTATTTAGAATGAAAAGCAATTATCTTACTGCAGGAATAGGTTTATATTCGTAACAAAGGCCCGTCAATGTACTAATTCACGACCTAGGACGACTAGAATGTTATTAATAAGAAAATAAAATTTCTTTATAAGATATTCCCCTTTGATACAATATTGTATGAATTAAATAAAGTTACTATAAACAATTTACAAACAACGTTTTCTCGACACAATAATGACGATATTTCCTTATCATCTTGACAGTAGGCACAGACAGGGGCTAATAGGACAATATTAAAATTAACATTTAATATGGTTCGATAAATAGTGACTCATTCCGCAAATGACTCAGATTCATAACGCGAACTCAATGAAAGATAATAATATTAATTAAAAAATATAAACTATAATTCTTATCAAACGTATCATTGTAAAGAGCAGCCTGAACAAAATCAATAGTTAGTTATAATTTATATTGAAATTAGACTCTAATTGTAACGTAAACAATTTGTACTCAATCATTTTGCTATTGGAAATAATCGTGTCATTTCATCACTCATGCCCTGGTAGGTAGTAAATTTATTCGATTTTAATTTAATCGATACGTTTGAGATACAGACTAACGATCGCAATGAAACACCTTTCGCGTTTACACCTATTCGTATATTACTCAATGAACGTATTCCGTTACGATACGTTTAATTAAAAAAAAAACTTTGAAAAATAACGAACTATTAACCTAAAAATTTCGAATAACATACTAAAACACTCATTGACATACAGTTTTTTATATTATCTAGACTTGATAATATTTTATATTATCAAGTCCAAACCCTTAAGGAATCCAGATAAATTAGTCATTGATAAAATACCAAAAACAGTAAATTATCATAGAAATTGCTATGCAATGTGCATAAAAGTGTTTAACGCAATACCCAATAATATAAAATCACTACCAAGGAAGCGTTTCGGGAACGAGTTGAAAAAATGGCTAGTTAATAAATCTTTTTATTCGGTTAGCGAGTTGTTGGAAAAACAATAATTATCTTTTTTTTAATAATAATATTTTGGTAATTATATATTATAATGTGACATGAAATTATAAATATTAATGATATGATAATGCAAATAGTAGTAATGTTTTTTTTTTTAAATTAGGTTACATTAATTTTTTTTAGTTATTGCTATTTATTATGCAATGTACGTATTTTTTTTGTAATTATAATTCGTAATATCATACTTAATGTTTATAAAATTCAATAATTTTGTACACCAGAAATGGTTAATGTGTTGTACTATATTTTCTATAACAACTGTAAAACACACACATTATGCAAAATAAATAAATAAATAAATTTATTATCAGTCGACGTAAATAAGTAACAAATAATTAATTAACAGTAATCGTAAGAAAAACTGAATTTTTCTATTCAATCAAATCCTGATATTAGGGTATTACAAAATTTTAGGCATATTTCGTGTGTATCTCATTGTTTGTTTTTATTATTTATGACCTGTCCCATGAGTCACATATGGTACATTACTATTGTCTCACTATTGTGTCTCTTGTCGGACAGTGAATGTGTTAATGTTAATGCGTGATGGTGTTTCTAATGTCTATTACTCACCTTCCTGTACACGGCTGTGATGAGCACGAGCTTGTCAAAGAGGAATATCCTCATAAGTTGCCTTCGCCTTCTGGCAGGGTCCATCGCGTAGAACTCGTTTTGCCGCAATAGTCGTCCTTGATTCAATAAGTTTAAATGAGGCTGAAATGGAAAAGTTATATTATGTTGTTGATCTAGATCTATATTTAGTAAAATCTTGTCCCGTCTACATTATAATATATATTATAAAGGCTAGGTTCTGCAGTGACTAAGTTATTTAAACACGGATTATATATTTGTAACTTTTTCGGGTCTGGATGTTTGTCCAAAACCAGTTTATTTTTGTATAATGCCACCATGATACAGGAGCCTACTAAATATATTATATAAGGTATAGATGTACTAGGCTTAGAGGTAATTTTTTAGATAATAAAAACTATTAAGACCTAAGTGTACATGTAAAAAAAATAAACACAAAGAAAAATCCATATAAAAATTCACCAAGGTGGTGAAAAGATCTTCCAATTTGCGACTGAGAATACGACTCGATACAAACCGAAGTACATTTAGGAGCTATCAAAGAGAAAGATTCACAATACATCTAGTAGTGTCCTGTGTCTAGACTTGATTATCAATAATTTATGTTTGTTTTACTGTTGGTGGGATTTAAACCCAGAAGGAACATCACATAAATCTCATACAGCAACTAAAAAAATACAAATAAATGTTTTAATACGCAATCCATTTATTACAGCTATTCTTATATATATATAATAGGGGGGATTTTACCACAGTTGCCACGCTTAGCAGGCGGGTTGGCAAACCGCTTTTTGTTATTTAGAGTTGATTAGAGTTGATACCAGGTTCGTATAAGATGAGAACTGCAATGGTGCAAATAAGGTGTAGCTCAGTGCGCGCACAGCCCAGCACTGATTTTTTTTCATCTACCGCCCGATGTACGGTTGCATTATTTTGTTACTACGAAATCAAATCTATGAGGATGAACTCTAATCAGGTTAGTTCATGTGATACGTATATTTAAATAAGCTTTACAATTTACACATGCTTGAGTCATACTCACCGGACTGTCTCTAATGTTCTCCAACGCCATTATTCCGTCGACCGCAGTTAAAACGCACTCGACCATAGTTTTCGCTAGCTTCAAACTTTCCAAAGGCGTTTCGTCACTGTCGGAAGACTCTCCATTGCTTCCACCCGTTTCATCACTGTCAACACTAAGTTTCGATATTCTAGAATCCGATTCACACCTTTCGTTTTCATAGTTTGAATAAGTTTTCACTAAATCGTCCAAGAACAGTTTGTACCGCGGTAACCTTTGTACTGGCTCTAACAGATAACTTGATAGATCTAAACGATCACCTAACTCTAATTGTCTTGCCTGGAAATAAAAAAAATAGACATATTCATCAAAATTATTTTATATTGCTCTCGAACATTTTATTTGTCTAATTAATAATTGTTATGTGCAGTTTTATTTATGGCCAGTTCGTCTGTAATAGGTATATTATGAAAATTCATCACTGCTTGTCATCAGGTTCTAATACGTCAATGTTTCTATCGGCTTTCACATGTTACCATGTGAAATCAGTATCGAGTGAAATGTGATCATAATAGAGGAACGGGATAACCAATACAGAATTATTTGAGTAAGTAGACTGAGAAGTTTGTTGGCGAGAAATAGAACGAAGCAATATGTGAACTTTCACTCATCTGAAACAGTTGTCACACTTATAATGCTTTGGGATTATATATACGTACGCTTTATATGTTTTCAGGGTTAGTTTGCAATAACCGGCCAAATTGGCAGACAAGGTTCAAAATAAGTAATAATGCCTTTATTACTTAAATGGTGACGATAATTTTATTAAAAAAAAATCTCAAACATTCTGTCCTTTTATGTTTTAAATTCAAAATGCGTGGTAATGCATTATTTTAACTGATTTTACTGCGCACGCACACATTTGTAAGGGTCGATCGATAGGCAACAACCTTGTTGCTGATAATTTCAAATAAAAGTAGAAGCCTTATTTACTCGTATTTTCAAAAACTGCAATAACGGTATATCATTATTTATATATTTGAACTTTAGTTTAAAATTTGACTACTCTTTAAAAAATAACCCTGTATACGTAAGTTGGTACGTAATATTCTATATTATCAAAAGCATACGTACCATTTGAAATTATTTAGTGCTAACCTCATCTGGCCTATGTTTATCAGTGGAATTGTGAAGGGTTGTAATGATGCTGATGATGATGAACCTCATCTACATGCATTGCATTCTTCTAACATACTGGTGTCGGACTGATAGCAGAAAATTCATGGAGGTATGATCTAAATCCCACAGAATGATAAAAGAGAACAGCATTACCACGCACGCGTATTTATTGGTTGTGGCTTCCCGATCAGCCTAATCAGGAACAGTTTTTCACAGAAATTTACACTAAATCATGTAATAAATAAGATCGCCTTTATACGACAAAGTAATACGAGTATATGTTATCGCCATAGTAACTGCAGTAGCTACCTTCTAACTTGAGTTATTAATATTATATATATTATGGACTAAGTGATTAGTAGGGCATTATTTATAATCTCCAGACATTTTCAAAAATGCTCAATTAGAGTAGGCAATATGATACAGTTTAGGCGCTAGTAGAACATACCTACTCGCTTTGCGCTTAAGGCATGCAAAACTATTAAAATAATTAAATTGATCAGGCTTTATGAATAAAATCCGTTACTTATGGCGCAAAGTAATAAAAAGATCAAAAAAACATAAAAAAACCTAACCTAACCAAGGCTAGGTTAGCTTTAAACACAATGGTAATAAAGTTTTTCATCAAAGGTATTTTTTCTTTGTAACGTAAAGGAAGGGATACGACATTAAATACTACATTATATCAAAAATGCAAAGTTGAGTGTCAAATTTTGATTTCAGACCTTTGACTAGACTAATTGCTGCTATTTGTTACTGCAAAGTGGTTTTTCCCTTCCTTCACATTTCTTACACTATTTTAGATTTTTCAGATTTGATAGATGTTTAACTTGTTGTCTTAAAAGTGATTAACATGGTTAGGTAAGGTTCAGGCAACAATTACGTAGCAATATTCATAATAAGCAGACAATGTGATAAGTAATAAAGTTTAAATCAGTGTTAATTACGTAGCTCGATTTGACATGTCGTTATTCATATTGCCTGGGCATTATTAATAGTTCCCTGAGTTGTCACTTGGTCCATAACAGAATATAATAGCACGTGCATAAATAACGGTGTTCCCAACAGTTAGGCTCCCGTTCAACCGCTTGTGATTCCGTAGCGTAGGTTACACAAATGAGAGAATAATACCAGACACGCATCGCCGACGCTGATATAAGCCACTTGTGAGGAACCGATAATGTAAACGATCAATTTTCTTTTTATGACAAGTCTTACCCTCAGCTTAATGCCGTACCAAAGCATTTCCCGACAACCGCGGTTTAACGTTGCAACGGTATCGATAACTGTGTAGAATTGTGTGAATACTAGATTATAATATATTAGTTTATATTTTATATTGGGAGAGCGTAGAAAAATTGTCTACATTTCAAATATTAAACCAACCCGTTTATTTTATTAAATGCACCTTGTCCTTTAAAAACTGAAATTGAGTTTGTTATGAATAAATTACTAAACTTTTATTTGAACTCAAATTGAAATTTACTATAATAAATATCTACGTATGCCATACATGATACATAGTCATACAAGTCATATTGCACGGGATGATCGTAAAACCACTGACAAAGTATTTGTTTTATGCCCATACATTGGCTGGCTTCCGCTGAAAAAACTACAGCTACAGATAACATAAATATCTTTAGGGTATTTCCCGTGTTATATGCGGTATATTTAAATAGGAAAATCCCATTTCCAAATAATGATAGCGATGTTGTAACACATACGCATTGGTTCTACCTAAATAATATCACATTTAGCACTAAGCTGCTTCTCCCAGTTATCTAACCGGAGACCTTTATTTTTTACTCGAATCGAGGTATTCCATTTTAGTCCTCAAGGGTGACAACGTATCCGCATTTTGATTCTTAATCGAGGATAAATGTAATGTCTATGGTAGATGCTTCTACATGTACAACTTACATAATATTTTCATAGTGTGTACCGTTATTTCAAAAATTAAAAAGAAGAACTACTTACTTGGAAAAACTGTTTGTGTTCATAAACCAGTCTTGTAGCTCTCTTATTATTTCTAGAGTACATTACGTACATATTAAACCTCTGCTCCTAATAAGATGAAATTTAAATGAATTAGTGACAAAAATATAGTACGTTCTAAATTTCGTTCAATTCTCATTCATTCATTAAATCAAAGTCAATTGCTGAACATTGGCCTCGTCATAAATTGCCTCATAATGTGGATATTTGCCATAGTTGTCACGCTTGGCAAGCAGGTTGCCAGTCGCGGTTTTCTATTTTCTTGTTGTTATTAGATGTTGCTGCCAATTTTCTGGCTTGTTTGCCTGTCGATAAGCCTTCTACGACACGTGCAGTACGTTATGGGGTATTCGATATTCTTACACCGTTACCAAGTCGTTCAAATTCGTTCAATTAAAGTTCGTTCGTTTAACATCAGTTACATGCTGAAGGCCATGAAATCTGAAAATTAAATTTACTAAGGATTGGAACGTGTCTGAAAGCAAATATCACATTATCCATCTCCGACAGCTTATAAATAAATTATCAACGTATTTTAAAAACATTTAGTACGTAGTAGAGGCAGCCTGCAGCTATTACCAATTTGAAATAGTAGCATATTGTTGCTGTATTTCGTATGGAGAAAGAACTGGGGACCCTTTTTGTAACAGCTTTCCATTTTAAGCCTCAAGCACTCCCACAACACATCTGCATTTTAATTCACAACCGAGAATGGATGTGAGTGTCACAACATTCATTTTGTCACCGTAACTTCAATAAAAAAGTTCTTTAACAAAAGCAAAATATTATTAAACTTGTCTGTATTTAATATCCAATATGTCAATTAAATAGCCTGTACTCAAATGCCACAGAGAATTAAAACCAATAAAACATCCTTACATTTAAAGTTCGCAGGTGCATTGAGTGGAAAGCAATAGTTTTTCAATTACCATTCTTTTTGTCTACATATTATATAAAAGCGTAGTGAAATTCAAATGCTTTCACTAAACAGAATCAAGCCGAGTAATACTATTCACGACCCGGCCGGCCACTTGTGGAACTGTGCAGAACCGTGCATTACTAATGACATTGATTTAAAACGACCATTTAAAGGAGACCTACAGTCTTAGAAATAAAATCTTTGTTCTTCCATTTTATAGATCATAATAAATTGACAAACGATCCGCTACCACTGGAAAATTTTAAACAAGGCGTAGAAGCACGCAAGCTAACAGACCATGACACCAATGTTTTTTTTTTTCTGCGAACGACCAATACCCGCACGTTATGTTGTTTAATATTAAAGATTAAATGTAGTACAATAATAAATTTTGATTAAATTGTGAAAAATGTACTAACATAATTCAACAAAACTATAATAAAAATATAATTAACATTATTTTGAATGAAGCTTGCTATTTACTTATAAAAATATAATTAACATGGTTTAATATTATTAACGATACTTAAATTCACGGGATTGATTGAACTAGGCAAATATGAAACATTTTTTTCAATAAAAAAGTCCAGTAGTTCGTAATCCGTAGATTTCTTATAACTAGCTTTTTACTTGAATACGCGGTATTTTATTTAAGAAAACGTTTAAAATACTTACAAATCTCCTAAAACACTGTCCCAATTTCCTGAGATCATTCTCGCAGTCTCTCAGCGCCGGGAGGAATTCTTCGGCGTGAAATCGGCATATGCGCTCAATGTTGGCAAAAATGTCTGGTTTCATCCCTCTAAGCGACGGCGGTATGTCTTCTCGAAACATTTCGGGGATGTAATCTTCAACCACGTGCTTCAAACGCTCAACGTATACATTTTCAGTATGTAACAACTCGTTCACACGTTCCGTTAATCGTCTGAAACAAAACTCACACTTAAGTTTTTTAATTAACTTCCAAAAGGTTGTTTTCATTGCTTTTCCGCTATGTCCATGAATTGTTCGAAAATAATTTAAATAATAATTAGTAAAATATTCAAAAACCTTTGAAGTAATGCGATACTAATGTAAGAAATTAAATATCTTTTACTAGTATGATGTATATGTATATTCATAGGACTGATTGACCTGATACCGATTTATGCCTAATTATTAATGACACAGTTCTGTTAAACCTGTTATGGAAGGAAAAAAAAGACTACCCATAATTACGTCAACACAAGAAATTATTCGGTACATTTGTAAAATATTAGTATTATTAAGCTGAAATTTAAAAAAAATTGGAATTGAATTTTATTGAATCAGATTCTGACTATATAACAGTGATATAGTGCCTATTCATCCTAATTGACTATAGTTTTTTTTTTAAGTTTACTGATTCGTTGGTCTAGTGGTCATAACCATGATTACTGGTTATGAAGTCCCGGGTCAGGTTAGAATCACTTATTGGGTTTTGCTGTCAAGTAATTCTCAATGGCAGCCAGGAGTCAGGAAATTGGCAGTGATTCACGTCTATGACTCGGTAAGCACGTGAAGCTGTTGGTCCTGCGCCTGATCTCTCTACGATCGTGCCAGATTACCATCCCATCGGAGTCTCATTGTGAGGGAATAGAAAGTACTCCTGTGTTTACGCATACACTCAGGTACCTACTATAATCCTGTCCTGTGCAGATGGTCTAGATATCACTTTGAAGATAGACATTACTTTGAAGATTTTAGAAGTATTATTATTCTTTTAATAATTGTAACAAAACTTTCAACTATTTCCACGTCATGTTTTAAGAAAGCTGTATGCTAATGAGAAATGAGTCATCATGACAAGTTGCCAAGAGAAAAACAAAGCGTCACGTCTCTTATTATAGCTTGTAGTAGCTACATTAAACTATAATTATATACATTTATATAAAATTATAGTCTCGTCTAGGCACAGCGTCAGGTGACGTTACGATATTTGTATGCGAGGAACAGTCAACAAATGGGTGATTCAAAAGTACCGAGTTAAATTGAGAGAAAAAGAACAAGATATTTTAATTAACGTAGCCAACCTACGAATATTAAATTCTTTTAACTGCGTACTCGTAGTATATTAATTTGTGAATATAATTTTATTTTATGCAAATATTATGTGCGTAATATAAAACTAAAATAGTTTTACCGAAAACGCTGTGAATATTAGGATTGCCACCTTTATTGAGCAAATAAAATATAATATTTATCTACTCGTACTCATGTGAAAAAATACACGTGTACAATAAAGTATTATTATTCATTCCACTTACAATTTTGATCTGTATCGATGTGTATCTTTACTCCTGTTTTTTACTAAAATTATTTATTTAAGAACATAAAATTCAAATAAACTATATTAATTACTTAAACTTAAATTATCATATAGTCCTACTCTCCGTGTTATACTACCAAGAACGTTTGCGTTGAACGAGCTGCGTTTCCTCGCTGAATAGCTATAATTAGCCTGTGAGCGAGAAAAGAACCAGTCCTCTTATCACCAATAGCGACGACCACTTGCAAATACAGTTACTTTAAGAACTTCACCACACGTGGACCCTACGGACCGATAGTCTCTACTACAAATGACACATCTCTCAAAGACTCATATATGTGCCACTTAGTTCAGCCACAGAATAAATAATAGGTTCAGCTGCATCTGATGGTACCACGGCTCTTAACAAGTTAACTCATGAGATGAAACGCCGTCAAAGTATCTACGCATGTTTAGCATCCACTCCCACATCCCTCTGTCAGCAACATCTAACAAATATTTGTTATTAGTAAACACCTTTAACGGTATATTTACCTTCTAAATAAAGTTTACTTTATAAGTCTATGTTGCTCAGTGAGAAAAAAGTCAATTTATGTATAAAATGTAACCGCTTACCTAGCTTACTTAAGACTTTATCAGGAAACAATAAAAAAATCCTTTAAGTACAGTTTAAAAAAAATAATTTTGTTTTTTTCATATCATATTCAAAGAAGTGGATTTCAGATTTCAGGATTCACGCTTATGTATAATATTTTTTAAATCCAAAAGTGTTATAATATTTCTTTTTAAAGATTACAATATTAAAATTTTAATTTAACACATTAAAATTTCTAGAATTCCTGAAGACTCATTTAAGAGCCTCAAGAACACCTTAACCAAATAAATGGTCGAGTTAGGGCGTGATACTAGTTTTATTTAGTCAGTAACCAGTATTACGACAGTCAAGGAGATTTATCAAAGGTTTAAATATTTTTTTAAATATCGCTTTTTTATAGGATAAGGATAACTGACGAGCACGCAGTCCACCTGACGTTAAGGCGTTTCCCTGACCAAATAACCTTGAGCATGCAGTGCACTGCCGCAAGCACTCTGCGTACGCCCATTTATCTTATTCGCACAATTTTTGGAATTAATTTTAAGTAAAAAAGAAAAGCGAACTTTCAAATTAAATAAAACGTGAATAATATAGATTTTTAAATTATCTATCCATTAGTGTATTCCTCAAATGATTAGAGCGTTGCCTTTAGCAACAGATGCATGTAATCAATAATTCTAATCATTTTTTTAAAGTAGATTTTAAATGTATTTATAAAACATAAAAACAAATTAAAACGTGGAATGTGATGATAGGATATTGAACATTAATAATGTGCTCTTAGATGTAGTTTATTTCTCATAACTAATGAGATAATAGTCTCTGTATAACGAAGAAAAACGCACTATCGCAAGGTTTTGGTCGGGGTATCGCCTTAAGTGGATGCTGTGGCCTATAGATATAGACGCACACACATTATTAAACTCGCAGGATTCAAGCTTTTTTTTTAATTCGCCGCTAAAGGTTGAAACGATTTGCTACCTCTAGTCCTGTTTACTCTATCTCTGTCTACCTTTTGGCAAAAAAAACCGCAAGTGGGTAATTCAACAGCAGTCCCTAGCGTGTGTGGCTCTAATAATTAATTAATTAATAGTAATTATCCCCCTCAAGTAATATTTTTTTTAATCATTTTAATTATTTTTGGTTTTATTTCAAAATATGTGTGTTTCATTACTTGATAAAGAGCCTATATAGTAATTCGTAAAGGCTGTGGCAGAATAGCACGAGTATTGGGCTTCCCGTTACAAATGAGACAGATTAGTTAATAGTCACAGACAGTTTCGTCACAACTGAGTATTATGTTGTTTCCGTTCAAGGCACGCTTTAAATATTTTATCATTGTATTTATTGTGGTGAACTTGTGGTTACTTTTTACTTCATCCAACTTTACTTTACATTTACATTTATCCTAGAATAAGAATCAAATTTCAAATGCGAATGACACCCTTGCGAACTAAAATGGAATACCCCGTTTCCAGTAAAAATGGTCTCCGATTCCCTACACTCACCATACGAAATAAAGCAGTATTAGGCCGCTATTTCACGCTGTCGGCTTATATGAGAGCGTGGTTCTTCACCGCTGGAGTCTACTCATTTGTGCTAAAACCATAATAAAGCTACAACATGTCTCTACCGCGTATAATACGTCTGTGCGTTTGATACCGATTATATATTTTCGAAAGCGAAATGTAACAATATGTAACAATCACATACTTTTTAATATAAGTTGCAAATCTAAATAGACACTTCTCTTCCCAAACTCCACAAAAATACCTGAAACATACACCCAAAACAAAATTAGTATACATCAATACTCGGAGCTACTCCAATACATTTAATTCCAAACATAGGCCTCCTCATAGATTGCCTTATACAGCCGATCTTAGTTTTTTTTTTATTATTATTGTTGAGTTGTTATCAGAAAGTCGCTGCTGCCCATCTCCTGCTTCATATTCCTCAGTTGTCTCTAACGACATGCATGATGTGATGTGGGGCAGTGGATTCTCATACGTTGACGTGAAGTGGCTGCCACACTACACAACTACAACTACCATATTACGTAGTTTACTCCATATTCATATTATTTTATTACTCTATTTTTTATTTTGGGAATTTTGGCATGAACTTGATCGGCGGCGGTGGCGGCGGTGGATAGATACAAAACAACTAAAATTTATTTAAATATACTTCTTTGAATTTATAATTTCCTCTGCTAAAACAAAATGCGATATCATCTTTGCTTTTTCGTAAGTTGTCCCACAGACAATAATGCGGCATGACATGCTTTACGTGGTGGCAGTTCATTGACCATTCATCCTGCAAGCTACGATTGCATGCTCTTATGATCGTCTTCGGATTGGTATGTTTATTTGTCTACAACTCAGTTCGTTTTGAAACCGCATCGATGATCTTTCATAAGGCCACCCGACAAACTTTGAACATTGGTGAAAATTATTATAACTATGAGGAATACGAACTAAGAGATTGTTCCGTATTTTGGGACACAAAAGGAAAAACATAACTTCACAAAAGCAATTGTTTTTTATATAAAATTTATTTATAATGCTGCGCATTTAAAGTTTGAAATTATTACCATTATCACTTAAAATTTTGAGAACCAATAATTTCACAATGGCTCTGAGAGTCAGAACCGTTTTTACAGTTTTAAAGGCTGTTCTGAAATGCATTAAAATTATTGAAAATATGGCTTGAAGGTCCGTCATGTTGCATTCACGCTACGCATGTCATTCTGCATAATCGTCCAGGGCCCAAAACTAAAAATTGATTTTTAAATTTCAAATACTATACAATTATAACTAGGTATTGTTATGTTATTAAATTGATTTTTAAATTTCAAATACTATACAATTATAACTAGGTATTGTTATGTTATTAAATTGATTTTTAAATTTCAAATACTATACAATTATAACTAGGTATTGTTATGTTATTAAATTGATTTTTAAATTTCAAATACTATACAATTATAACTAGGTATTGTTATGTTATTAAATTGATTTTTAAATTTCAAATACTATACAAT